ATATTCGCTAAAAAACCATTCGCTCCTTTTCACATATTAAAAAATGCGTTTTTCTCGAAAACTATTGAAGTGCGATCGAAATTTTTTAATGGCATTTTCCTTATGTCATAAGGTATCAACGTTGTGAAAATCATCAAAATCGGAAACAAAAAATTTTTCATCCAAAATCGGAAAAAAAAACGTGATGCTAGCATCATGCTATAATTTCAGTTTTTTCTAATTTATTCGGCAACCGTTGCGAATATTAAAATGCAGTTTTTTTCATGTTATTCTAGCCCACAAGACAATTCGCCTGACGTCTAATTGAAGCTTCTACGTGCCCGGGAAGTGTGTGAAAAATTAAAAAAACTAACAAATTTTTCGGCCATTTTTTGGGCATTTTTTACTCGTGAAATCTTTAAGCGCCTATAACTTTTGAACGAATCATCATAGGACATTGATGTTCCCAGATGAAATATTCTAAATCAAAAGATCTTTGACCCAGTATAACAATTTTTAAAATACCTCTTGCCGTTCGCGAGATATACTCCAAAAACAGTTTCAAATTTTCATGTTTGAAACAGTTAAATGCCCATATCTCGGAAAATATTTAAAATAGGGTCATGATGTGTATGAATGAAATATGCGCATTTAAAATATGTATCTACAGGTGCAAAAATTTTTATGATAGCTCTAACCGTTCCCGAGATATTCGCTAAAAACCATTCGCTCCTTTTCACATATTAAAAATGCGTTTTTCTCGAAAACTATTTGAAGTGCGATCGAAATTTTTTAATGGCATTTTCCTTATGTCATAAGGTATCAACGTTGTGAAAATCATCAAAATCGGAAACAAAAATTTTCATCCAAAATCGGAAAAAAAAACGTGATGCTAGCATCATGCTATAATTTCAGTTTTTTCTAATTTATTCGGCAACCGTTGCGAATATTAAAATGCAGTTTTTTTCATGTTATTCTAGCCCACAAGACAATTCGCCTGACGTCTAATTGAAGCTTCTACGTGCCCGGGAAGTGTGTGAAAAATTAAAAAAACTAACAAATTTTTCGGCCATTTTTTGGGCATTTTTTACTCGTGAAATCTTTAAGCGCCTATAACTTTTGAACGAATCATCATAGGACATTGATGTTCCCAGATGAAATATTCTAAATCAAAAGATCTTTGACCCAGTATAACAATTTTTAAAATACCTCTTGCCGTTCGCGAGATATACTCCAAAAACAGTTTCAAATTTTCATGTTTGAAACAGTTAAATGCCCATATCTCGGAAAATATTTAAAATAGGGTCATGATGTGTATGAATGAAATATGCGCATTTAAAATATGTATCTACAGGTGCAAAAATTTTTATGATAGCTCTAACCGTTCCCGAGATATTCGCTAAAAACCATTCGCTCCTTTTCACATATTAAAAATGCGTTTTTCTCGAAAACTATTTGAAGTGCGATCGAAATTTTTTAATGGCATTTTCCTTATGTCATAAGGTATCAACGTTGTGAAAATCATCAAAATCGGAAACAAAAAATTTTCATCCAAAATCGGAAAAAAAAACGTGATGCTAGCATCATGCTATAATTTCAGTTTTTTCTAATTTATTCGGCAACCGTTGCGAATATTAAAATGCAGTTTTTTTCATGTTATTCTAGCCCACAAGACAATTCGCCTGACGTCTAATTGAAGCTTCTACGTGCCCGGGAAGTGTGTGAAAAATTAAAAAAACTAACAAATTTTTCGGCCATTTTTTGGGCATTTTTTACTCGTGAAATCTTTAAGCGCCTATAACTTTTGAACGAATCATCATAGGACATTGATGTTCCCAGATGAAATATTCTAAATCAAAAGATCTTTGACCCAGTATAACAATTTTTAAAATACCTCTTGCCGTTCGCGAGATATACTCCAAAAACAGTTTCAAATTTTCATGTTTGAAACAGTTAAATGCCCATATCTCGGAAAATATTTAAAATAGGGTCATGATGTGTATGAATGAAATATGCGCATTTAAAATATGTATCTACAGGTGCAAAAATTTTTATGATAGCTCTAACCGTTCCCGAGATATTCGCTAAAAACCATTCGCTCCTTTTCACATATTAAAAATGCGTTTTTCTCGAAAACTATTTGAAGTGCGATCGAAATTTTTTAATGGCATTTTCCTTATGTCATAAGGTATCAACGTTGTGAAAATCATCAAAATCGGAAACAAAAAATTTTCATCCAAAATCGGAAAAAAAACGTGATGCTAGCATCATGCTATAATTTCAGTTTTTTCTAATTTATTCGGCAACCGTTGCGAATATTAAAATGCAGTTTTTTTCATGTTATTCTAGCCCACAAGACAATTCGCCTGACGTCTAATTGAAGCTTCTACGTGCCCGGGAAGTGTGTGAAAAATTAAAAAAACTAACAAATTTTTCGGCCATTTTTTGGGCATTTTTTACTCGTGAAATCTTTAAGCGCCTATAACTTTTGAACGAATCATCATAGGACATTGATGTTCCCAGATGAAATATTCTAAATCAAAAGATCTTTGACCCAGTATAACAATTTTTAAAATACCTCTTGCCGTTCGCGAGATATACTCCAAAAACAGTTTCAAATTTTCATGTTTGAAACAGTTAAATGCCCATATCTCGGAAAATATTTAAAATAGGGTCATGATGTGTATGAATGAAATATGCGCATTTAAAATATGTATCTACAGGTGCAAAAATTTTTATGATAGCTCTAACCGTTCCCGAGATATTCGCTAAAAACCATTCGCTCCTTTTCACATATTAAAAATGCGTTTTTCTCGAAAACTATTTGAAGTGCGATCGAAATTTTTTAATGGCATTTTCCTTATGTCATAAGGTATCAACGTTGTGAAAATCATCAAAATCGGAAACAAAAAATTTTCATCCAAAATCGGAAAAAAAAACGTGATGCTAGCATCATGCTATAATTTCAGTTTTTTCTAATTTATTCGGCAACCGTTGCGAATATTAAAATGCAGTTTTTTTCATGTTATTCTAGCCCACAAGACAATTCGCCTGACGTCTAATTGAAGCTTCTACGTGCCCGGGAAGTGTGTGAAAAATTAAAAAAACTAACAAATTTTTCGGCCATTTTTTGGGCATTTTTTACTCGTGAAATCTTTAAGCGCCTATAACTTTTGAACGAATCATCATAGGACATTGATGTTCCCAGATGAAATATTCTAAATCAAAAGATCTTTGACCCAGTATAACAATTTTTAAAATACCTCTTGCCGTTCGCGAGATATACTCCAAAAACAGTTTCAAATTTTCATGTTTGAAACAGTTAAATGCCCATATCTCGGAAAATATTTAAAATAGGGTCATGATGTGTATGAATGAAATATGCGCATTTAAAATATGTATCTACAGGTGCAAAAATTTTTATGATAGCTCTAACCGTTCCCGAGATATTCGCTAAAAACCATTCGCTCCTTTTCACATATTAAAAATGCGTTTTTCTCGAAAACTATTTGAAGTGCGATCGAAATTTTTTAATGGCATTTTCCTTATGTCATAAGGTATCAACGTTGTGAAAATCATCAAAATCGGAAACAAAAAATTTTCATCCAAAATCGGAAAAAAAAACGTGATGCTAGCATCATGCTATAATTTCAGTTTTTTCTAATTTATTCGGCAACCGTTGCGAATATTAAAATGCAGTTTTTTTCATGTTATTCTAGCCCACAAGACAATTCGCCTGACGTCTAATTGAAGCTTCTACGTGCCCGGGAAGTGTGTGAAAAATTAAAAAAACTAACAAATTTTTCGGCCATTTTTTGGGCATTTTTTACTCGTGAAATCTTTAAGCGCCTATAACTTTTGAACGAATCATCATAGGACATTGA